TTTTCCATCTGCCATTAATGAGTTCACATAGTTAGCCAGCCAGGGGAGTAATATGTCTTTAAAAGTTACATAATAAGCCACAGTTAGACCATCAGGACCTGGCGCTTTTCCTTTGGCCATTTCAGAAAGACTGATCTCCAGTTCCCCAACCTCTATCTCCTTTTCCAATTTTCCTAGGGATTCAGCTGTGAGTGATGGTAATTTACCCCTATCCAAATACTTTCTTATCACCTCCTGTCTATGATCTAGTGTTTTTTGCGTCAATTTTTCTGATACATTATACAGTGTGAAATAAAACATTTTAAATTCCTCAGCGATGTCTCTAGGGGTGAAAACCATAGAGTCTGTTGTTTTAATTTTAGGGATATAGGTCTGCGTCTTCCTGTGGTTTAATGATCTGGATAGTACTTTTCCTGGTTTATTACCCCATCTATATTGTATACCCGCCAACCATAGAATAATAAGAATAGTTCCTATCCTTTGGGTGCAGCATTCTCCATGTGTCTACTAATTGCACCCCATTTAGAAGTTTTTTCAGGGTTGCTAGTTTTTTATATGAGATATTAGAATGTCCCGCCAAAGTGTCAATCAGAGGTTCGAGTGCAACATTCAAATCAACCGAAATAATCAGGATCTCTTCTGTGAAATCAGTCAAGCGTGAAAGAGCATTAGAAATGTAGGAGATCTGTTCTTGATTTGGACAATATATATTAACCAATGTACATATTGTGTTATTTATGGATCCCTTAATAAAAAGGTATCTACCCTGTTCATCAGACTGCATGTCTGAGTATATGAATGGGACATTTTTATGAATACCAATTGCCACCCCTTTAGCTCTGTTAGTATCTGATACGCTATAGTACCAGTATGAGAATGTATTCTTACTGAGTCTGGTGGAAGTGGTGTATGTCAGATATGTTTCTTGCAGGAATACTCCATCCGTCCATACGTTTTAATTCCCTCAGCACTTGATGTCGTTTGTTCTGAGTATTAAGTCCCCTCACATTATATGTTAATAGGTTAATCGTGGTCATTTCTTCCCTGAATATAGTAGTCCCAACTGCTTAATGAGTTCTCGTCCAGGATGCCAATTAGAACTAACATAACAAACAAAACATAATTCCCCATGAATACACATTAAAACTAACACGACAAACAGACATTACTAAAAATGCTGTCCTATACCCCTTGAAGGACATTAATAAACATATAGTACTAAAGCACATCAGTGCAAAAACCATCTTTGTTCCCCCTTCCCCTATAAAAAAAGGGGAGAGGGAAGATAATGGTAAATGTTCAAAGGGTGGGGCTATGAGTGTCTCCAAACACCATTCCAGTTTAACCTCGTAAATTTATGGATATTTGGAGTGTCACTAATCTCTAGGTCGTCAATTCATGTATTAGAGAGAAATACTTACCAATGTAGCTTGTGGAAGCACCCTATAAAAATCACTCAAATATGAGCGAAAAATATAAATTCCAAGCATGCACATCTCTGGTAGATCTGAACCAAGAGCATCAGGGCCATAAAGCAACAATTCTTGTCATTAATCACAATGCGTATTGATTTCACTATTATTAGTGTTGTACTGTATTATCCATCAGTGGAAAAAGGAAAATCTATGGACTTGTTTAGTATGGTTATTCAATGTGCAATGACTCTGTATCAAGGACAGAAACTCACAATAAATATGTCTTATGTTTTAATCACTTGATCGTTGTAAACTGAAAGTGGATTGGTTGCTATTGTTTACAGCACTTTACCCACAAATATTGCACTTAGCAGTAGCTTATTAAATAATTTAATATTAAAAAGTAGTGTTTTTACCAGCTGAAGCTCTCAGGTTGGTCTTGTTGTCATATGTGCCTGTTAGACACCTAATTGGTCCAAAATTGAACTTTAAAAAAAAAACTTGCGCTTTAAATTTCTGGTTAAAGATATTACTTTAGGTGGGCATTTCTTTTTCATCATCTTTAAGACCACCATACACATTACCAGCTGATTGTACAATCTCCATTAGATCTACAGTACTAACAAAAATGTAATGCAAGGGCCTGCCTGACTGGATATAATTTGAATGGACAGTTTAGTTAGGTACTCATATAAAGGGTTATTCACAAAGCTGCCGAAGGCAGCCGAGTGAATAACCCACCTGAAGTGAAGTGAGCCGAACATTGGCTTGCTTCGGATTGGCTTTGGTGTCTTCTAGCAGGTCCTGGCCAATGAATAACAACTGGACAGCTCTGCCAAGTCATCATTGTTTAATGACAGCTCAGCGTCCCCAGGTAACCTGTGGCCGCTGATCTGTCATTGCAACTGGGCAGAGCCATCTGTGAGATTATGGCTGGCTCCGCCCAGCTTTCAGTTGCGAGGCTTTCGGCCGGCTGCTCGCACCACTTCGGGTCTCACTTTGGCTCAGTCGACTTCGGCTTAGCTGCTCGGCCAGCTTCAGGAGCTGTATGGGTTATAGTGAATAGCCCGTACAGCAGCCCTTCGGTTCTACTGAACCAAAGGGCTCTGGCAGCCAAAGCAAGCCGAAGGAACAGCCAGATCTAGGGCTGATCCTTCGGCTAGCTTTGTGAATAACCCTCAAAGTGTTAGAAAATCTAAAGGAGAATTGACAAAGATTGTAGAGTAAAATTGTAATGTGTATGGTGAGCATTACAAACATAAAATTGAACTTCAAATCTGTGGTTTTACACTATTTTGTCCAAAGATCTCTAAAGGAAGTACCGTCTTATACGCAGCATTTATAGTATAAGATGCATATTCTATAGTTACACACTAAGGGGTCTATTCACAAAGCTGCCGTAGGCAGCCAAATGCATAATCAACCCAAAGTGAAGTGAGCCGAATGCTGTTTGGCTATTCACTTCAGGCTTGTACTGCTGATTTCAGCCGTATATCGGCTGAAATCAGCCGTACATCAGGTGGCTTTGGGTTCAAACATGCTCAGCATGTTCGGCCAACCCGAAGTGCAGAAGGAGTTCGACTCAGCCGATCCAACATCTGGATCGGCTGAGCCAAACCTCCGGCAGGCTACTCGCTGCTGTTCAGCCTATTCTAATAGATGCCGAACAGCAGTGAGTGAATAGCCTAATGCAGCTGAGCAGAATAGAAAAACAGTCAAAAAAATAGAAAACGATTAAAATGATGGCAGATAGCAGAGGAAGCAATAGCTTCTTTGCTATCTGCAAGTTTTTTTTTAGTATTTTGACAGCTGCTGCCGTCAGAATAAAAAAAAAATCAGCATAGGAATGCATAGCTAGATTCCTATTGGCTATTTCAATTTGCAGTCTCCAATAGCAAGCTGGCTATTGCACCCGCCCTCTGCCACCTGCTAGACTTGTCCCCGCAACCTCTCTCCCACCTCCAGTGGTCTAAAGATCCCAGAATCCTCATGTTTAATACAGTATATTGGACGTGATGATGCCGAGGGACATTCCAGTGCAAGAGCAAAGGTGGAGAGAGGTGAGCGGTCTCTGCCTTAGGATTAAGGCTCTGGTGAGTATTTCATCTTTATTTTGGATTTTAGACCAAAATGAGCAGTTAACCCTTGCAATGCAGGGATAGCTCCGCTGCAATTTTGTAATTGCCAAGAGTTCTTTAAAATATTTTTTTTTAAAGTAACTTCATCATTTTTGCGTGTTTGCAGTACTATACTTATGTCACTATAATTACTTTGTATACTTAGTAGATACACATTACATGTAGTCAGGCTGTTTCATTCATCAAGATTTGGTGAAAATACAAGCCTGAGGAGTTCGTTAGCAGGGAATGCTGGAAACATATATCCTTTGCTGACTTCTTAAAATGCTAGCTGCTTGGCTGTCCCTGAATGAAATTATTTTTGAGTTGCTGACCAGAAACAAGCACATATGATATGTCATCAGGGGATATTCATAATGTATTATCATTCTAAATTATTTTACCCAACCAGACCAGCTCTATTAGATCAATTGCCTCACATTCCTGTAATGAAATCAACCAAACCTGTTGCATATTGGGGCTTTTTAGGCGCTACATTAATAAGCATACACATAAACTGCATTGCCGTTAAAATATACATAATTTCTTATTTTATTTTATACATTTATTTTTTTATTTTTGTAAAAAGGTTGAACAAACATAAATATCTAAAAAGGACATTATACTTGGGTAATTGTCAAATGCAAGACTGATTATTAACTTCTTTGATTGCTTCTTTCATTTATAAGTAGTGGCAATGTGTGTAACATTTGCAGTGTAGAGTAAACCAATAGGACCCTGCCCCAGTGGAGCTCAGAGTATGATTTTTTTCCTTTTTTTCTGAGAAAACCTTAGCAGTCATGTTTATGGCATCCTTATATTCCATCCACAAAATATTGCTTTATATCCACACCAGTCAGCAGTTACATGAGTCCATTATCCAAATTCTCATAATTCACATAATTCTTTCATTGCTGATTTCTCTGATGAGGTAAAGGCAATGGTCTACGCATTTCTCAGTGACCACTGCTTTTACAGGAATTGTGGAGGGTATTTATGTATATGTGTGGACGGGAGCACCCAAGCAAAACACCCCCAAACCCATACCAAATCCAATAAAAGCAGAAAGGATTCACAGGGGGACTAGTTTGGAACCCCACTTGTTGGCTACAATTGTAGTTCCACTTTATTCTATTACAAAAAGTAAACTCCGAACCATCCATTTCTCAATGGTGAGTATATATATATATATATATAATAATAAAACAAACTTTCATTAATTATATAATTTATTTTAAATACACAGATTTTCTTTAGTGAGCCCTAGGAGACAGTAACAAACATGTTTAGTGCCACTACACATGACAAGAGTGCTTCTCTTCTAGGACAAACAGCAAAGTTCCCTACATTCTCTACTCAATGAAAAACTGGATAAAATGATTTGGCTATACATTTTAGATTATTTGTATTACAATTATTATGCTTAATATGATTTTTGCTGCTAACATACTTTCTTTTTTTTCTTTAGGGTGGTGGCTGAAGCATAACTTGAAGACAAAGTACATTAGGGGGAGATCTGAGCTATCACCAATGTACTGAGGTAGGAACATATCTGTTTAATAACAGATATCAAATTTCTCATACATGTAGTAGTAGTAGTAGTAGTAGTAGTAGTAGCAGTAGTAGTAGTAGTAGTAGTAAAAATAAAACTGCCAATAGTAAAACTGTGCTCTTCTGATGTATAAAAGATTACCATAGTATTTTTTCAAAAGAGATTAGACATTTTTGATCAGCGTTATCTCTACTAAACATTTAGGGGTCTATTCACTGAGCTGCCGAAGGATCTAGTCGTAGCTTTGATTGATCCTTCGGCTAGCTTCGACCCCAGGACCCCTTCATTTCAGTAGAACCGAAGGGCTGCTGTACGGGCTATTCACTATAGCCCGTACAGCTCCCAAAGTTGGCCGAGCGGCTCAGTCGAGCCGAAGGCATAAGCCTTGGCTCGAATGAGCCGAGTTGAAAGCCAAAGCTGGCCGAATAGCCGGCCATTGGCTGGCCGACAGCCTGCTTCTGACAGCTGGGTGGAGCCAGCCGTCATCTCTCGGCTTGCTCCGGCCACATGCCGAGAGATCAGCGTCCCTGGTTACCAGGTAATCAGGGACACCATCTGTCATTACACACTGAAAACCCGGCGGGGCTGCTATGATATGGCCTCTCTGTGTTCTCAGTGTGTAATGACAGATGGCGTCCCTGGTTACCTGGTAACTAGGGATGCTGATCTGTTATTACTCTCGCTGATGCTCTGGGAGTCTAATACGGCTCTCGGCCACCCAGGAGAAAAACACTTTCTCCCGGAAAGGTTTACTCTGCTTGATCGAGCAAATTTTTTTTTCCTGACATGGAGCCGCTAGCCGCCGTCAGTCAGAAAAAAAAGCCAGCATAGGAATGCATAGCTAGATTCCTATTGGCTATTTCACTTTGCAATAGCCAATAACAAACTAGCTATTGCACCTGCCCACTGATGCTGTCAATCAGCAGAGGGGGACCTGCAGTTCCCCATCAGGTCCCCTTCTGGTGATTGACAGCAGCAGAGGACTAGTGCAATAGCTAGTTTGCTATTGGCTATTGCAAAGTGAAATAGCCAATAGGAATCTAGCTATGTATTCCTATGGTGTTATTTTATTTTAATTTTTCTATTCTGACGGCAGCAGAACTGCCCGGCCAATAGAAAACAGTTGGACGGGGCTAGCTGTCACTGCTAGCTCCGCCCAATCATTTTCTATTTTATTTTTTCTACTTTTTAAACTGTTTTTCTATTCTGCTCGGTACCACAGAGGTACCGGGCAGAATAGCCGAGCTGAATGCCACTGCTGTTCGGCATCTATGAGAATAGGCTGAACAGCAGCAAGTAGCCTGCTGGAGGTTCGGCTCAGCCAGATGGTCGACCCGAAGCCAGCTGCAGCAAGCCGATGTACGGCTGCTTTTAGTCGGTGTATGGCTGAAATCAGCCGTACAAGCCTGAAGTGAATAGCCGAACAGCGTTCAGCTCACTTCACTTCGGGTCGGTTATTCACTCGGCTGCCTACGGCTGCTTTGTGAATAGACCCCTTAGCATTTTTGGATTGCGTTGTTTTAGAAATACATTAGAAAAACTCTGTAAGATTACATACAGAGAGCACTCTGATGCTTTACTGTGTTATATTTCTAACACACTTTGGAATTATTCATGGATACCATGTGGTTGCCTGTTTTATTATACTATACATTTTAATTTACTACATATGGTTGTATGGAGATGCATTGCTGAATTGAGGTTTCCTTCTGTTTTAAGAAAGGCTGCTTTTTGTCATAATTCAGTCTGATGGGAATGTTATCATGAAGAAACAGATCTTATGAACACAAAACAGACACATCCATGTTTGTATTTATTTAAAGCTAGATTTTATTTAAAATGTTTGATAAAACTTCAGTTTTATTGTATCTGTGTGACAGGCATTGTTGTACATTGTGTGACTATGGAGCGTTCAATAACATTGTGAAATAAAAAAATCACTGTCTAAGCCTAACTTTATACTGCTACCCCTAGAGTAAGCACTGTCATCTGTGCAACTGTGTCATTATCTTCCCTGTTTTATAGTTTTGCAGGAAAAGATTTAAGACTGATGTTTGTTATTGTTGTTTTGGAATTATTATACTTTTTTATCTCTTTAGCTAAGTCTAAAGTAGCCATTTCATTTGGCAGATAGTGATAATATTTATGGAAAAGTTATCTTTACATAATACCTCTGCTGCTGTCTTATCTCTGTTTACCTTGTGTGTGTACTTTAATACGCTATAGTTATTGTATTTTGAATTTGTTTAGACATCTCTTAGGACTCACTTATGTGAGCTATTCTGTTTCCTACCTAATACAAAGAAGGTGAACTGAAAGGTGAAAGTATTTTTAGTCTAACAGACGATAGATCCAATTCACAAAAGTCTGATGCACATGACATTTTCATTCCTAAGAATCTGCTAATTTATTTTTCAATTCAAATTTTTTATTCATAAAAAAAAAAGTTAATTAAAGGCTTTTTCTTAAAATTATTGCTTGGGTGTTATTGCCTTTTTAGCATTTTGTATGTGTAAGTCAATTCACAAACATTATCGCAGAGTGTTTCCGCCTAAAAAATTGTTAGCTCCTGTCTAGCATAAAAAGAGATCTAAGCTCTAACATGATGACAGGTAGATTATTAATGCACTGTTTGGCATTTTTGTTTTCTTCTTAACCACTTCAAGACCAGGTGTTTAGACCCCCTTCCTGGCTAGGCCATTTTTCAGTGTTCAGCGCTGCAGTACTTTGACTGAAACGATCCGCCGCCTCTACAGCACCGCTGCCTGCTATTAAATTTCGGCCGTTTCCCGCTTAATACAATTCTGTTTGGCCCTTTTTATTTTATCATGTTTTGCTCCTTACTGCTACTGATCTCATCCAGGCTCTTTTATTCACTTCCTGCTTACATGCATGCACCCAGGTGTATACTGCACATCTCTGCTCTGGATCTGCATCCTGATTTGTGTCATTGTCAAAGGTCATACATTCACAATGCCAGAGCAAAAATGGGAGAACACTTTCCCCCCATAAAAGAAAAAACATGCACATGGATATTCATGACAGAATTACCAGGTTTTATTTCATTGAAATCTGCAGTTTTAGCAGGAATAAAAACACATTTTCAATTATATTAACATGCTAAAATGTATATGAGATTTTTTGATTGGGTTTAGATCTATTTTTACAGTTGCTAGAAAGTGCCCATTGAGGAGAGCAGGAAAATTAGCTGTTTGAGGTGGTTATATAATAACGATTAATGAAATAAACAGATACTAACGGTAGTGTATTATTCATTGTATGTGTAAAAATAAATATTTCACTTTAATGTGACATTTATGTTTGTAAATTTAAAATACATTATGGGATGAAATGACGAATGCACAAAAAATACCTCATGCAGCTTTGTGCATTGATGCTGATAGCTTCAAAAGTCTAGTCCAGTGCTTCACAAATACAACCTCATGTTTTCTGGATTACCATGCAGGTAGCTAAATTGCTTTGAACCAAATATACTGATACTCTGTACATTACCTGTGCATATGTGAAACTATCAGCAAAAATGAATTTGAGGACAAATTTGGGGAACGTTAGCATTACCTAATTTTTATGTATGTTAGACAGTAAAAAAAATACAAAATATTTAACTTATTTTGTGTAATATTCAGTTCTGGGAATAAGCATTCTACCCCTTAACCACTGTATATATACCACACATGTCTGACAATTTGTTATAAATAATCAACCCTAGTCTTACAATACAATATAATTCTGAGCTAGAAAAGAAAGCGGACTGACTGTTTAGATCATTTGTGCCCAACCAGCACCCAGTGTGTGGCCAGTTTTTTCAGAACTGTAATCTAGTCTGGAGCACAGCAAGCTACTCATTAAGTGACAGTGGCTGCAGCAGGGTTTAGCATTGGAACCAATTACTGTCAGCAATACATTACTACAGCCAAAAAAGGATGAAAATGTATATACTGTGTGTGTATACTGTATATATGTGTGTATATATATATATATATATATGTATATATATATATATATATATACACTGAGTGGCCAGATTATTATGACCACCTGATGTTTTTAGGCAAATTAGCTATAATTTTGCGCTAAAGTTGCTAGAGGGCCAGACCATTATAAATAGTGAAGCAGGTTGTTTATTGCGACAGTAGAAGTGATTTTGTTCTGAAGATATGGGTAAACAACGCAATTTAACAGCCTTTGAAAGTGGGATGATTGTTGGCGCTCGGAGCCATGGAGCGAGTATCAGCAAAACAGCAGAATTTGTTAAATGTTCAAGAGCAGCTGTTGTTAAAGTGTTTAAAGACTGGACTGTCAGCCGAAAATCTGGGTCTGAACGTGCAAATTGAGGCCGTCAGCGACTAGTAAATGTTAGGGCAGAACAGAGAGGGGCAAGACTGGTACAAGACAACAGAAGGGCAACAGTGCAGTGTCAGATTCCTCGCATCACCTTTCAACATCTCATGGAGTCACGAGGCGGCCCAACGAAGTCATCTCGTGGAGTTATCTCGTGGCCCGACGAAGTACTGATGGGGTGGTCATAATAATCTGGCCACTCAGTGTATATTCATAAAATGTTATTTAAAAAAGACCTGTTTTTCCAAAAGTCACAGAAAAAAGATCAGGATGTTTTGGCTGATATTTGCATTTACTGCATAAGGAAGCACATTCTCATTCAGAATTTTAATATTCTTGAACCCATAACAATGTTGCTGACATGCTAATTTGTGCTCATGCAAACCCAACTTGATCTCTGTGAGGGTCCACTCGCACTATGCATTGTTTTAATGCACATGTGCTGCATTAAGGCAACTCTTCAATTTTGAATGGGTTGGTAGTGCACCATAATACACCAAATATTGGACATGATTAAACCAAGTACCTAGAGGAAGACACGAGGGCACAACAAGAAGTTGGAAGGGTGATGAGGTATAATCATAAACTGCAAAAGGGATATTTTTCTTGGAGAGTGGTAAAAATGT